TTTGGGCTGCTTCCATGTTTTTCCAATTGTAAATAAAGCAGCAATAAACATGGGGGTACAAGTATCTTTTTCAATCAGTGTTTTTGTGTCTTTTCATACCCAAGTTCTTTTACACAAATAAATAAATAAATAAATAAATAAAATCTTTTTTTAAAGAAAGCATCACTTTTGCCGATCTAAATTCACAAAGTTAATAATGTGTAAGGGCAGATTGAACACTCCAGTATTAAGTTGAAGGTCATTTGTTCCAAATTACATGCATTATGCATTAAAATAGTAGGTGTTTACACATAATAATAGCAAAGGAAGTCTAGATGACACTTCTTTTTAACCCTTAACTTCCTGTCCTCCTCTCTCTATGTCCTAACGAGGAAATTAATTTTTAGCCAATGTTAATAAAAATTAAAATGTATAGTGAGTAATACGCTGGGTAAGACTTAACAACTTACTTATTGGTTGTGAGGTCAAAAGCTTCAACTGAAGCTGAAAGACCATCTTCAGTGACACCTCCTGCAATCACAATTTTGCCTTTATGAATTGCCACTCCAAACATGGATCGAGGCGTTTTCATTGGAGCTAGATCTTTCCAGTCTCCTTTTTTGGGGTTGTAGACAAACATCCGGTTTGTACATTTTCTGTTAATAGGAGAGACAACAAAATGGTCCATTCAGAACTGTCCCTCTTTGTAGAAGAAATTTCATTCATCTTTGAGCTTGGATTCTCATGAAATACATAGTATAAAAGAGGATCAGGAACATTCCAAAGTACTCTTAACCTGAACATATGCCACCAAACAAAATACAATTTCAAATACGAGGACAAAAACCATTTTATAATTTATTTATATCTCTGGACAGAATGGTATCTTCAGTTTTGGCCACACTCTAGAAGCCCAGGCAGAGTAAATTTTAAGCCAATCTGCTGCTAAATTCAGTGAAAGATATGAATTCAGTAACACTACAGAAATTAACTCTGAAATTATAATCTTTAAATATGAATATGTTTAAAATATCATAAATTGTTTATTAGACCTTGGTAGCAAAAATACTAAGTTGTTTATTATTTGAATATCCCATGAATGAACCACCTGACTTAAAAAATAATTAGGTATGAATGTCTCCATTTTAAATGTAACTAATTAACATGATGGTCCATTCCATTTGTGTCTACTATACTTTACCAATGTATTTTTTAAAATCTGGGCTGTGACTGAGATGGGGAAATGTACAAAAATATGTAAAAATAAACTATTATAAAAAAAAATCTGGGCTATGGCAACTAGTCATCTGGGCCGATGAGTAATGAGACCATTCCATGTGCTAGATGCTGCCAGAAAAAACCTGGACTTATCTGAATTACTATTCTTAGTATGTTCCTTATAGTTCTATAAAATGATCCAGAATTTATTAAGGTGAGTTCAGAATTCCAAATAATAACTGATTAACTTGCTATATTCGGTAAAATCAGAAGCAAAAATCCAAAACTCCTTACTTTTTGTGAAAACTATTTTTTCTTTAATCTATAAAAGAACAGATATCTGAAGTAGAAATATGTCTTTTAATATTTGACTATGAATATTATTTTAAAACTTCTTGGTAAGTTTTTCAAATTTACTGTGATAATTAGTGCAAGTCAGTGCTTACTTTTAGGTAATGACTCATTGCAAAGTTCCTGACTTTGGCATTTGTCAAGCAATGTTGTCTGGTTAATGATGTTCTCAAGATTAATATATTCTTACTGACAGGACCTGTATGCTCTTACTGACATATCAATTTCCTAGTCCTAATACTACTTGAAGGAAACAATTTAAATCATTTGGCAAGAAGACTATGTTTCCAAAGTCAGAACACTGCTTTATACAGTTATTTCATTCCATTTACATAGGAAAAATGCCTAAAATAAGATTTTGGACTGAGTGAGTTTATATCTTCCTTTCAATATTCATTTCATGGGAAAAACTAGAATTAAGGAAGATTTAAAAATTTTGGAATATTTTATCTTTGAGTATGGGTAAGTGGTATAAAAGCATATTGCTTTCAAACTCACTATCTTTGTATGTTAATTGAGTACTAATCATTAATTTGTAACGATAGACTACAGCTTTCACTTCTTAATTTCTTTTACTTCCAAAAGATTATGGATGAGAACCGAGTGCCATTTCAGTTTTAGATTTAATGAAAAGGGGAAAGAGCCCATTAATAAAATAATTTGGTTATAAACCATAGGAAATTTCAGGTACTTACTTATCATCTGTCTTTCCTCCTAGACAATATATCATCCCTTTATGTGAAATAACATTATGGCCATAGACTTTTATTGGAAGTTTTTTTACTTCACTCCACTTTGCAGCCCTAAAGAAAGAAGATAGTAGAAATTACATGCTTTCTGTATATTTCAGGTTATAAAAATATGAATGCAATAGGCACTTATATACCTGAATGCTGAAGAAATACAAATGGCATGTCAACTTACACAGGATCATAGCATAATACTGAATCCAGCGATGCCTCTGTTTGCAGGTCTTTGCCTGCAACCACATAGATTTTATCCTCTACCTCTCCAAGACCAAACAGACATCTGGCTGAAGGCAGAGGTGGAAGCCCAACCCACTCAGATGTTATGTTATCAAGCTGGAAAAAAAAAAAGTACACAAGGAATTGTGGAGCTTGTTACAAAAATAATTAGAGCTTGTTATAAAAAAACCTGTCAAAAAACAACTATGTATTATTTATAGTTTATTGAGATAGCCAAAGGTTTTATAAGTAAAATTAAACCATAATCCAAGAGATCATATTTTACTTTTAAAATTACTGAGAAAAATCCAAGGCTTACCAAAATAACTGGAAAAGCAAAACAAAAATGAAACAAAATCTCAGGACTTTAAGAAAGAGAGTAGAGTCATCATAAGTAAGTGTAGAACTGTGAGGTTTCTTGTTTTCTTTCCATGTTGCCTGTTCAGGTTTTAAATAAGTAATCAGGACTCTTTGAGAACACTGGGCAGAGAGGTGGTCATTGCAGTATGGAGTGCCCCTCTCTCCTCCCACATGCTATAAATAAACAAGCTTCCCAAGCCAGTGTCCCAGACAGCTGCACATGTCCCTCAGGCCACAGACAACTGCGAGGTTTGGCAGTATCTTATTTTTCCTTCAAAATTTTTTGGGTTGTTTCTTTATAACAGCTGATATATTCAGGTGTTAATATCAATTTCTGCATGCTAGACTTCCATTGGCACTGATTTGAAATACCCTCCTCTTTTAATTTGTATTAGGAAGTAACTTCGCTTGTTTTTGTATAAGCCTCACACAAGCTTTCTTGTACCCATGAAGGGACTAAATTACTCATTCCTTTAGTGGTGTCCTTTACTTGAGGTTGCTAAGCCAGATAAAGAGATTTTTGGTGACCCCTCCCTATACTACCTTTAATATCTGCATATATTTCTGCTATCCAGTTATTCTGGATTGAATTCATTTTTCTTTTGTTAGACAGAAGTAGCAGTAGAAAGAACAACAAATCAGCAAGTGCATTCCTTCAGGAAGCAGTTTTGTTGTGCCTTAATGTCCTAAAGTACAAAGAAATACCGGTAACTTAACTCATATAAATATAGAGAAACAAAACAAAGGAACAACAAAACTAAACCAAAACAAATCCTAGAAACATGACTACAAGATTGAGACTACTAAAAGGGAACATAGGGTGGGAGTGGGAATCAAAAGGACAAGGCAGGCCCTCCCTGGTGGCGCAGCGGGTTAAAGCACAGCACTGATAATCTAAAGCCGCTTCCGCATGAGTTCAATTCCCGCCTGCCCCGGAGGTGACCACATGGCGCGGCAGACCTCTCCTGGCCCGCCCGCTGCTCCCCTCAGCAGTGTACTTCGTTGATCTGCCTGTTCTGCTCCCCACTCTGTCTCTGGTGAAGCCTCTCACCGCTCCTGAGCCTCTGGCCTGTACCCCAGTTCTGTATGCACAAATAAATAAATCTTTGAAAAAACAAAAAAAAAAGGACAAGGCCGTTTACTGGAATATGCTGTGGGATTTTGGGTGCTTTGTTTGTGGTATGGTGCAGTAACATACATCTGAATAGGTGTGATTTACCTAACTCATAATGTGTTGTTACCTTGATGAGAACTAAAGAAAAAAAGCCCTTAAAATGATTTCCTCTGGTGGTGTTAGATTCACATTCACTAATTTCAATATCCATATTGTAATTGTAATCACTAATGTTTTCATTATTGGGGAAAAAAACCCACCTCCTTTGCTCAAGAAGATGGTGTTCAGTACAGCAGAGTGTTGAATGTCTGTGTAGTGTTTACCCTGTGGGAGTTTAGCACTCAAAACATTACAGCTATATTATTTAGTCTTCTAAGACAAGCACTCATCTCAGTTTTACAGAATAGGAAACTGAGACACAGAAAGTTTATATTTGTGCAAGCTCAGAGAGCTTTATTCATATTCAAATGCAAGCTGTATCAATCCATAGCTTGTAATTTAAAGTGGGGATAGCAGCCACTTACTTCTATTCCAAGCCAGAAGGTCTCCTACCCACACTGTACTTAATACTTAATGTGTAATCAATACTATGTATTGATACACCTCCAGGCTATGCCCAAGAGGTGCTTCCTACAGGAGATAAAACAGAAGACCACTGCCAGGCTCTTTTAGAAATGAGTTCTCAATCTATTTACCTTTTTGGCTTTCAGTTTCCTCATCCTTAAAATTGCAATTTGGCCCTAAATGTCTTTGGATGCACTGTCCAAATATTTGATAAGTTTATTATTACTATGAAAAAAAAATCCTCTCTTACCTAGGTAAAATATTCTCATTGTTTATATTATAGAATTAAATTTCATACTACATCTAACTGACACATTTTAAACAGATACAACCAAGTAGAAAAAAAATAAAACCTGAACTTTTCGTACATTTTTTTTTCTTGTAAGTGGTAAACTTCTTTTAGAACTGGGTTTTTTTTTTTATCTTGGCATCTTGTTCCATTCTGTAGCACAAAAAACATGAAGCAGTTTTCTTGAGCCAGAAAAGAGGCATTGTCACTAGAAATAAGTTAGTAACAGGTTCATAGAAGTGAATAAAGATAGATTATGTGTATTTTATTGGATCTTTGATTTCTAGGTACCTATCTTTCTGTGTTTTAATTAATTTTTACCTCCTAGATGTAAATACTGATTTTTAAATTGAACATTTACCTGAATTAAATTAAATTAAAATTTAATTAAATAAATTTAAAATAAAATTTATTTAATTAAAATTAGAGCTTTTTCATTTGCATTCAAATGATTATCGTATCTATATAATTTTGTTTTACATAATTAACTTTTTTCAACACTGAAAATTAAGATACAACAATTACATTTTTCAAGATTAGAAAATCTGATAAAAAGTATAATATGTTGCAACTGCACAATATGTCACATTTCGAGAGCATGCATTAATCGTGATATGACTTTGTATACCCACTTATCTTTCAAGTCAAATGTCCACAAATATCCAGATTAGCTATGACCTAGCCAAACTCTTTTAGGGTAGTTGTAAGCTACAAATTTGGGTATTGGCATTGTTAATGACTAAGCCATTTTATTATAATCCACTGATAACATGAAAGAAATATTCTTTGAATAAATAACCAAGAATTTATTAATTTGGGAGGATTTGTTTCCTTGGAAACTTCTTTGTTTTCACAAAACAGATTAAGTTGTAATAGTATCTAAGTATATGTCTGATCCAAATAAATGTGATCATTGATCAGACATAAACTTTGAGTCATAAACTTTTTATCATAAAAAATTCTAAATATAATTAATCAAATTAAAATGAGTGGCATTTGTGTAGACTATTTTTTCCTAGGAGAGGATCTAATGTGTTCATTTTCACCAAAACCATATTTTAGGCAGTAATCATAAATTAAAGACAAATTGTTATCTCCAAAGACTTCAAATCAGTTCAAGGAAACTTGGAAAACTGTAGAAAATCTCACTAATTATATCTCTTTTGTAGTGTGCAAAGTACTTTTTTTTCAGGAAAAGAAAATATAAGATTAAATATAGTTTTTACTAATATTGGGTTTTGAAGCATTACAGTCATCATCTATAAATATGATATTGTAAAAAGATTATAAAAGACTATAAAGAAAATCTTGATTCATCACTTAAACATTAATTAGAACATTTTTCTTCCTGAGAAAAGAAAGCAAACATTGTTCAAAAATGAATGATGCAAAATACATAGAAATAAAAAATTTTCTAAAAAGCCCTCATTTTCACCAAACCTTTTGTTAAATATTAACAAACAGTTAACTCATTTAGATATTTCTGTCAGCACTCTAAACAGTAAAAGAGCAAGAAACTGGGAGAAGGTATCAAGGGGAATAAAAAGACAAGCAGCCTGAAACATTCACAGCTAACTGCATGGTAGCAGCTTTCCCTTTATGACTCTATTAATACAAAAAATAGTCTTACCTGGAAGAAATAGGACTGTAGAGGTTGATCCTTATTTTCTTCATCCACATATAGTCCCCCTACCACATAGACCTGGTTTTGTTGGGTAACAATGCTGGAATGGTTTCTGGGAATCTGCTCAGCCAGTGCAGTAAGGTAACATTCATTTTCTGTGGGATCATAAGCCACTGCAGCTGTGTCATTAACCAAAAGAATCAGGTCTTTGACAAACATCCCATGCCTGGGAATGTCATTCAGGTAACCAGGAAGTAAGTCTTCATCGCCAACGTCACCATTCACCTCACCAGCTCCTGCCTTCTCTGTGTTTTTGCTAGGTTCTGGGAGTTTGCCGCCAAAGGCATCTTTGAGAACTTTAATTTTTTTCTGGAGTTCTGGGTTGCTTTTAATTATATCATCTTTTTCGACATGATCTTTAAAATATTTTTCTGTCATAAGGCGAAAACGAATACAGTCAAACACTTCATTAAGGTTTTTAACCCTGTTTTCTTTGTCTGTTCGCACCCATTTCATTACTGCCTCAAATACTACGTCTTCCTTTTCTACGTTTAGGCTGTCATTTGAAATGACTGAGATCAGTTCCTGTGGAGACAGCTGCATAAAGTCCTCTTCTTTACAAATCTGTATAAAACGATCAGACACAAATTCACGGGCAGAGATGGCGAGTCTTGGACAGTCAAGAAGAAGTCCTAATCTGAGGATAGCTAGACAGTTACCCGGAGCAAGTCTTTTCTGAAGATAAGAAACACAAACAGTGAACACAGAGGGGATCTGAAAGCGGCTGGCCAAGGCGAAAATATCTTGCACATTTCCATCATTGAGATCAATGCTGGCGGAATACAGGTATTTGATGATTAAATCCAGTACTGCAGGGTCCACATTATCTAATACTACCTCCTTTTTCTTCTCCTCTTCAATTTCAGATAAAAAATACTCACGGAAGTAGGGACTACAAGCTGATAAAATCAGTCTGTGGCAAGGAAGACTTTTATCACCTGCCTTTAGGGTGCAATCGATGAATTTTTTCTCATCCAGGAGATCTTTTAGACCATCCTGAAGAAGGGTGGATTGGTAAAGCCGCAGTTCCTCTGCAAGTTCCCGCTGGGAATCCATTTTGTGAATAACCTGGGTGAGGAAGGGGACACTGAAGGCCTTAGCTCCTCGCAGCACACAGGTCTAGCTGTAAAAGGGCAGATCAGTGTGCTTTGCCCAGCTTCAAGCCTTTGCAATTTAATCCCAGCAACTAAATATAGAAACCAACTTTAACAACGGGAATTTTGGAGAGGTAGTTTGGCGTGAAGAGTTATTCTTGCAGCTGTTTTAGATTGAAAGGAACAACTGGAGCTTTTACTCACTAAAGAAACAGCTAAGAAACACAAGACTTAAGTGAAATGGAAAGCTTTAAAATACACAAGCATTAGAAGCTTTGCTAATAAAGACTTCCATGAGAAAATGTTTACTGACAAACTGACTCATAGAATGAGTCAGTCCACTTAAAACAGTCTAGTGACAAGCTAGCTGACTGAATTAATGATGCAAAGCTCAAGAATGTGAGGTGAATTGATTGACTAATCATAAGCAAGATTCCTTTTCCAAGAACTGTTGCACCCAAATTCATTTTCTACTTAAAACATTGGGATATAGAATTATCTTTTAGAAGTGGAAAATCTGGCCTCCCTCATGGCACAGGGGTCAAAGTCTCAGTGCAATTAAGCTATCCTCAACCACTGCAGCATGAGTTCGAGCCCTAGCCAGCAGACTCTCCTTTGTCACCTGCTATTCCCCTCAGCAGCTCCATTTGTTCTGCTTCCTACTCTGTCTCTGGTGAATCCTCATGCCCCATGTACTTTCAGCCCTCACCCCAGTTCTTGTATCTACAAGTAAAATTAAATCTTTAAAATAGAAGTGGAAAACAGATATTTACTTGTGTAAAGTTACTTATGTAATATATATTACTTGTGTAATACATGTCAACTACCATTAACATGTTTAAAAAATAATTTCTGTCATAATTGAGAATATTAAATGTAGAGTAACTGCTAATTTTCTAAGACAGTCTAAATCCCTTATTCTTAGGAGGAATAACCAGCATTTAATTAAATTGTCAAATTAGGCCCTCCCTAGTGGGGAGGTTAGGACGCAGTGCTGCACGCCAGCTGCAGCCACTTCAGTGTAAGTTCATTCCCCGCCAGGAAGATGATCCACATGGTGCAGAAGACCTCTCCCCTCTCGCCCACTGCTCCCCTCAGCAATGTACTTCATCCATCTGCCTGTCCTGCTCCCCACTCTATCTCTGGTGAATCCTCTCACGGCCTCCTGCACCTCTGGCCTATACCCCAGTTCTATATGCATAAATAAATATTTTAGAAAATTGTAAAATTAAGTTATTCATACCTTGCCTTGCTCTACAAAGGATTTGATGTGGTAAACAATATAATGAGTGAAACAAAGGTAAAAGAATTAAAGGAGTAATCAAGACCAGAAAAAAAATACAAATAAGTCGATGTGATGGGGAACCCTAACACACACACACACAATGTCACTAAAAGATATTATGATTTTAAGTGTTGAAGATGACTTTTAATTATCTTTTTTAACTTAAAAGAGTTAAAAAATAAGACAGCTGTAACCCCATGAGATTAATGTTAATAGTATAGCACAATCAGGGCTAAGTGTGACATCAGTTGTACACTTTGGAAAGCAGGCTTACGCAAAAGGAAAAAAAATATGTAATTGGGATCATAATTTTTTGTTGATTATAATAGAACACCATATTAATAATGGAATGTAGAAGGCATTATTTGTAGGAAAAGTTCTTTGTTTATAAATAGTACCATATACCTCTTCATGATTGCATTTATTACAAAATGAGGAGATATTTTCTAAGTTCAGTGGGGCTGTAGAAATGCTGTTATGTCCAAAGCTGGTGTTCCAAAACATGCCCCAAAGAATATAAGCTCCATAACACAGGGGTTTTTTGTTTTTTGCTGCATACCATTGATCAGGACCTTGTGGGTGCACCATAGATGTCTGTCGAGTGAATGCCCCCTCATCAGGTTAATTACATATTTTTAAACTTTGAGGTGTCTATCCATTAGTCAAGGTTTTTTCTCTGACTTTACATCACTGTGAAGTCAATGGTACTGTTGCTACAACAGCTGAAAGAAGAGCTCATTGACTCCTTTTCCATTTATAGATGCCACTAAAGGTTTTAACGTACTAGAAAAAACTAACAGCTGCTCACTTGTTTAAACAATAAATGACTCATTTCGCTTTACAAGTAACACCTAACATTTGAAAAGATTAATGAGTCAGATGCCAACACCATGATATGACACTTGAAATTATTCCTCACTAGTTGGCAATTTTATAAAATCTCTTTTGCTTAATAAAATAAAACACTATTCCTGGGGACGTTTTGTGATATGTATACATTTTCCAAACAACCTCCTGCTATCCCAAATAGGTTATTATAATTACCATCACTTTAAAATGTAGAAATCCTTTCTTATTTAAATGAATAATAAAACCAATGTATAACTTTTATTCATTGATTTTTTACTAATTTGGATTACCACTTAGTTTTACTGTGTATCTATGGTAACACCTAGTGTTTCATCTTATTTTACATGTTTCCATACACTTCTTTCCCAATAAAGAAAGAAGACTCCATTGGCTAATTTCAATAATTTGACAAAGTTTCCTTACAATGTTTCTTATAACAAAACAATGGCAAAAAAAAAAAAAGAAGAAAGTCTGATGTCAGAGCGATCACCAAATCTTACCTAATCAAGACATCAGAAAACAATCCCCTTATTTTGAAAACTTCAAAGAAGTTATAAGGAGAAAATCATTAATTAATCTAGTTATTTACATCTATTTAAAAATATTTAAATACTATTTCTTGCCAAAATAGTATTGAAATTATTTACAAAATAGTACCCAAATCTCTACATAGGGGTTGATACACTACAGTTAGCTATAATTTTTAATTTTTACAGAACTGTTTACCAAAAGAAATGACAAGGGTCATCATTTATTAGAGTTGGCTACATTTGGAGTTCTATGATAATATACTGAAATCAAAATTTTATAACTAATAAATGAGCATTTTGATTACTCCAAAAAAATAATACTTTCAAAACATTAAATGGTGCTGCATAAGTTCTTTATTAAACCCAACATGATAACAGACATTTAATATCCACAGACCAACAATTTACAATTATTAGGTACAAAATAAACATATTTACAAACTGGATATATTTCAATTGCAACTTTAAATATAATTTCAGAAAACTGGCAGTAAAATCTTAGATAAGTGAGTTTTCCCTTAATTATTAAAAAACTCTTTCTTAAAAACTTTTCCATGGATGTAAAAACTATTCCATGTCTTATAACAGGTGTCTGACTAGTATCTCTAATCTTGAGTTCTCTTTAAATAGAAATCCAGCTCAACTCAAGATCAACTCATTACTTCCCAAAGTCCCTGCAGGGTGAGTCCATCCTTCAATTTCTCTATTGCAAGCCCCAGTTCTTCTGAAAACACAGGTTCACGGTCTTGTTGCTTTTAGGGAGATAAGAGGATGAGATGGGAATAGAGAAGGTGGCAAGGAAGAAGAAGAAGAAGAAAAAAAAAGAAATTGGTTTCACATAAGTGTGTGAATGATGGATGATAGAAAGTTTTTTTCATATACTCTAGGCAAAATTTCCTTACCTTATTGCTATCAGCAAAATAAGCCTGTAAGACAAATAAAATTGTATTTCACATATTATAATAGATCAGTGAACTAAGCTATTTAGCTTCACTAAGGTAATTTACAGAACATTTCTGTAACTAAATGTGTTTTACATTCTGTTCCTATGTACTTTGTAGTTTTTTTTCATCATTCTTTACACAATGCTGGTTGCAGAATTTACTTCTTCTGTCAGTTATTATTGTCTACAAAAGTTATGCTTCGAGCTCTAAAAAAATGTGCTTTTCATTTAATGTGTCACAAATAATGTGTAGCATTGTTAACCTGAAAAAGGAGATAGAATGACTTAGAAACTAGGACTGTTAGTCCTACTTTTGGATTAGAAGAAAACGTGGGCCAAAAAATCCTTTCATTGTGTTACCAAATGCACACTGTTTTAGATAGTAGCTTGTAATGAAACATTTTGTATAATTTCACACTTGTTTAAAAAATATTTGTCCCCAGCAAGGTATTCTGACCAGGTTCATAGGCCAGAGTACATAGATAACATTATTATTTTTTTTGTATTAAAAAAATACAAAATTGAAAACAGAAAGGTTTATAAAAATAATATATCTATAAATTGAAAGGAAGCCTGTCTCAAGGATTAAAAATGGAGTGCATAGATTTTTAAATTGATGTAGCTATAATGTTTAACATGTCCTCCTATTTTTAAAGTATGAAAAAATTTCCCACATATCTGAAATCCTTTAAGTAACAGTGTTGTTTGGCAATTTAAAAGTAATCTCACATATCCACAAACTCCCTTAAAAACTTAAAAAATTTCACCTCCATTCACATTTAAGATGCTCTTAAAAGATCTCAAGTTGTATGATCTACATACTTAAGCCCATCATTTAACTAAACATAACTCAGATAAAAACATCATCATTGTAGTGGTTTTCCTTTGTGATGCTCACCACAAAAGCGTCTGTGTGATCATCGGAGTCAATTTCTACATCATCTTGAATTTGTTCAACTGTCAGAGCTTCAAGAGGCTGTGGCTAAAAATGAGTAGGTGTTAAGGTGCAGCAAAGAATCTTTATTAAACAAATAATGCTTGTAAATGTGTTCTGAGAATTGTAAATATAAAAGGATAACACAATTACAAACTGACTAGTCAAGTCCTATAAAAATCACTGCTTAAAACTTAAGTTAGTCTATTAAAACTAACTTAAGTAATAAAATGAGTCAGTTAAGCATAAGCTTTAAAATCTGAAGTTACTATAATCAAAGGATTAAGATGGGAAATTTATACATATTTAATATGTTATCCTTATGGGGAAAAAAACCATGGAACTTTTGATTTTCTTTCACATAGTTAAAAAGAACTTTGTATAACAGCAAATTTTCAATTTTCCTCAAAAAATAGTCATTGAATTTAATTTGTGAAAAATAAAAGAACTATTATTTGCACTATTCTAAAGGCAAAGCTGTTTTTCAGTTATTTGAGTATCTGTTATATTAGGGACTATGCTAGCAGAACCAAGGGTATAAAGTCCCTGCCCTTACACACCAAGGATTTATAATCTAGTGGGAGTGGAAAGATAAACTCAGCTACACATAACAAAATATTAGAGTGACCCATGACCCATATTAAAAAAAATCATTATTTGTGTTAGTCAATAGTGGTCAAATATTATCAAATATTAGTATCATATGCTTGGTTATAGCAAAAGAGCTGTAACACATACAGTATTTATATAATGAAAGACTGTGAACTTTTGACAGCACAACTTCTGACTTGTGAATCCCAGAAACTTTCTAAAAGAAAAGGTTGATGTGTGATCAAAGCCAATTAGGATGAAGTTAATTTTCAAAATTTGATTAGGGCAAAGAAACTATTCCCAGAAAGAAAATCATAGTCAGCAAAGGTGAGAAAGGATATGGCTGAAGAATTGGTGAATAAATAGACCAGTATGATCATAACTAAGAATCCCATGGGATTGAAGGTGCTAAAAAATGCAACTGTATTCAACAATTCCTGGAAGAATCATTCCACTAAAATCTATGTGAACAATGTTCTCTAGAGTTGGGTAGTGCACAGGCTGCACAACTAAACCCTCCAGCTGTGCAGACAAGGTGGAGTCTACTGAAAGTCTAATACTTAGCTCAAAGAATCTAAACTTTATTTGTAGGTAGGTAATAAGGGAGGAAGGAGGGCAGAAGTATGCTTGATCAGGAGTTGTCTGATCTCCTGATCTGGGGATAAAACGTTGTAAATATGGCTCAGAGCATGTGACTGTCTACAAGAATTTAACCTAATTCTCAGTTTCCTTTAACTATGAAGTAAGGATTATAATAATGACATTCTTTGTAATGTTGGAAGAATTAAATGAGCTGAAACATATAAAGTTCTTGAATGGCAAACAGTAGGTGCAGTACAGTCATTCAACAACTATGAATAGTCATGAAAAACCTATGTGTGTGCTGGTTTTGATTCCTGGAGATAAAACGATTAAAGAAAACAGAATAGGGCTTCCCTGATGGCATAAGGGGTTAAGTCTAAGCACTATGAAGCTATCCGAAGCCACTGCAGCATGAGTTCGATCCCAGGCAAGGGAGGTGATCCACATAAACACAGCAGACCTCTTCTGTCTCACCCACTGCCTTCTCTCAGCAGCGTGTTTCAGTTGATCTGCCTGCTTTGCTTTGCACTTTGTCTATGGTGAATCTTCTCAGACCCCTGCATCTCTAGCCTGTATGCATACATAGTCTTGTATGCATAAATAAATAAATCTTAAAAGAAAAAGAAAGCAGACAAAGCTTCTATTTACATGGTCATTATTTACCATGGAAGACAGAGGTCAGTGTTACCAAAAATAAAGCAACCAAGCAAGCAAGCACACAAGTAAGTGGAATAAGGGATTAAAAAAAGTAATATTTTAGGTAGCTATTAAGGGAAGAGGAAGTAAAAATAAAGCTGACAAAATGAAAGACTCAGGTCTGTCTGCATCAGGGGAGTCCTGCATGTGGCGCCATCCCTGGCTACGCTGCTCACCTGCTAAGGGCAAGAATGAAGGCGAAGCAGTCAACAAGACAATGGAAGGTAGGCAAATTAGTGATGGTCCAGGGGCCTTGGTTACTGAGCAGAGTTTAAGTTTATGTACTCACCATTTTGAACACAGTTTAAAATTAAAATGTCCACAATATCTTTATATTTTATACAAATGTATAAAAGCTACCTTTTCTTCCATCTCATAATCGACTCCAAATATTGGACTGGCAGAATAGACTTTGTGAAGTGAATTAATTTCCTTAACTGATTCTTGCAGTTTTTCTATAGGATCTATTTTAAAGCCAAGAACATATCCTCCACTCTACAAGAAAAAATAATGAAAAGCAAAAAGGAAGTATGAGCAATGGTACTTATGGTACACAATGAACTATAGTTCTAAGTGTTCTTATTTCAGAGCACAATATGTAAACTGAATTTTAGATTAAACTTCAAGCATATACAGAAACAGAAGAGTACAACGAACTTCTATGTAGCCAATACCAAGCTTTAGTCAGAACAAATGGCCAATTCCATTCTAGCTACAGTTTTCCACTCTCTGGGTTTCCCCAAGCCCCCAGGATTATTTTGAAGCATATTCAGATCTCACATAATTTTATCTGTAAATGTAAAAACATGGCATTTCAAGATTTAAAAAATACACTATAGACTGTGAAGGCTAAGGGAACTAAGCATTTCTTAAGTTAGGCTTGAAAAAGAATAAATTGTAATTAAAAGAAGAAAGGGAATGGCATATCTGAGGCTACCTTCTTGAAGAATTAGGGAATAAACCTGCCCATGGCAGGTTTTTGGAGAAGAGTGTTAAAAATTAAGTCATCTATTGTATGTGGTAAGAGCATGTGCTTTGGGTTGAAAGCTTAATCTTTTGGATTTAAATCGCATTTTTAATTGATTTTTATATGATGCTAGGAAAATTACTTTCTTTGGTCTTTCTAAGCTTCAATTTGCTAATCATCAAATGCTTATTAGGTTATTGTATTAAGATAATGTATATATGGTAGTACCCCTGGAAGATAGTAAACACTCAATAAATGATAGCTATTAACCAATAGGCTGAAAAATAGTCATATTTAAAGTTAGAAGTAATTTTATAACTATTTTGTTTAAATGTATTTCTGTAAAATCTGGCATAATGGGAGCACAGCAGTTATAATTAGATACAGTGTAACCTGTATATGCAAATATATAATCTTATGCAAATATATAATCTTAAACAAAATCTTTATATATCTGTATATATATTTGCTTCTCAAAGACAATCTTATGAATTAGTCAAAACTGGAATTAAATCCTAGCCCCACACTTACTAGTTGTGAGACCATGAGCAAGGTTCCTAACTTCTCCAAGGCTCAGTTTCCTTGGCTGTAAAATGGGGAAAAAATAGTAACCATGTGATAGCTTGCATACTGCATGAAAGTAGAGTGACTTGACTGTCACTAAAAGTGACAACCTAGGGATGTGAAGCAGCTCTAGTTAGGTTCAGTCAAGATCAACCCAGGGTGCGTAATGTTGGGTGAAACATTAATTTTTAACCTGTGGATGCTAATGTGGTAGAGTTAACTGCTTGACAGTCTGTTTTCTATTTAAGAAAACTACAGTATTATTACATAACTATGATGTTAATAAATCTGAATCATATCTGTTACCAAAATGTGATAATCCCAATAAGAAAGATTACGTCTGTGCAACAACAACAACAACAACAAAACACAAGCAAGATTCTTACAATAGGGACAATAACTGTTATCTCCAACTCTTCTCATAAATTCATATAGTGAATATTCTTGGGTGTGAAATAGTTACTATATAAATAAAAGTAAAAATATACTTTTTAAAAGATTATTAGAGATTAATAAAAACAAAGTATCTTACCTGCTGAGAGCTTTCTATGACAAGAGCTAAACCAAATTTTGAATCTCTAATCTTTATTGAACGCTTGATGTAAAATAAAAAAAGAAAAAAATTGCAGGTTTTATTATCTGATAATAGTGATTCGTTTACACAAGTTTTTAAAGTTTTATACATTAACTGCTTTTCAGAATAATGAACAGAATTCTCCCTTTTTTCGCTATCACACTGCCACAGAGATCAAATAAATAAAAATTTTCATACTGGAACCAGGTGGCAAACTTATGAGATAATACAAAGGAGACCTCTCTGAAATATGTACATTATCTGACTCAAGGAACCCCAAATTGTAGAAAGTCAACAACTTTTCTAAATATTTTAAATGAAAGGCAAATAATCTTCATTTAACTCTGGACAGCCAGTGCCTTTTTTGAGTCCTAAAAATGGGTTTACTTTTTAAAAAGTCACATGTGCTTTCTGTTCCTTACAATGTAAATGTTAATAAAAGAACCTATTAAAGAACCACCATCCCATCTACTTAAAAAAATAAACAAGTGATGGGCATCAAAGGGAGACTGGAACAGGTCAAATATAATTAACATTAATAGGAAAATGTGACAGAATTAAGCGTGGCTAGCAGGAAATGAGCAGTGACACCAGTGACTGGGTAGAACAGGAGCACAGTGATAGACAGGACTTTGTAGTACATGACACAAAATGTACTTGCTGGAGGAGTTACTGAGAACCCTGGAGGGTCTAACATTATGACCAGCAGAACAAAAGCCCAGGGTAATTTGTTGGTGAAGGGCACTTAAAGTTGAGAGCTACTGAGAAAGATAAAGGAAGGAGGGAAAGGGAGAGAGGAGGGAAGACTAAATATATACTTATTTTAGAAATCTGGCCGCTCTACTACTTCATACCTTACTATGTATACACACAGTCCCAACTGAGAATAACAGAACACTGCCATTTGGCAATCTAACTGGGTGACTATGGGAAATCTGTCTATCTATAGGAGTGGGGTCAGGGCTAAGGCTGTGAGCTGAAGTTAGAATATGACTTTTGCAGTGACAGACTGTGAAGCTATCAGATTGCAGTTTGTCGGCTAGGCTAAATTCCTGCCAGAGATCATACTTGGCAACAGTATTCTTAAATAACAGAAAGTATCCTATTTGAAGAACAGAAAGCACTAAATTGTTTACTACTCAGTAATTATTCAGCACAACAGAGGATGAGTTAGGCACCCTACAGTACATGTAAATGTTATATGAAACAGCAATGAAGAAACAACACTAAATTAGTTTCTGTTATATCTTTCTAGCCATGATTTTTAAGTTCTTAAATTTCTTTAGATATCAGAAATAATTCCTATTAGGTTTCTAAAATTTTCTGCTTATTGTGTGGTTTTACTACACTGAAAGTTCCTAGATGGTACAAACTGTGTACTGGTTCATATGAGATTTTCATGATTGTGTATGACTGTGTGCAATATATGGCAAATGAATGATCTGATGTCTTTAAAGTAACTCAGAAGTCAAGCAATTTAGTGAAACAAAGGTTTGGAAATATTTTGCAAAAAATTCTTCTCAAAGGCCAGGAGGTCTCTTTATAAAATAAGTTTTCCAGATACCACATACATTGTATTTACTCAACTGCTTAGTCTTGAGACTACTTCTATCCTCTTTGAAGGATGATAATCATTGGACAATCTCCCAGGATTTTCAATGACTATTTTTATGTTACATCTAATTTGCACTAGAGTACTATAAATATATATATATATATTTCAGTAGACAATAAAATTCTTCAGTTCAGTTTACTATTTGTTTCATTGACTTACACACTTACAATAGCAACAAAGAAGGAAAAAGAACCACTTTTATTTGCTCCCAAAGCAAACTGGTCTCAGATGCAGCTAATTTTTATTATAAATTTTCAGAGCATATAAAATAATTTTATTATAAAATATTTATCTTATTATGAAATTCACACAGCATGTGTGTGCTGTGAACATGTGTGAATGAGTGAGGTCTGTGGAGAGTAATTTAAGTAAAACATAATTCAAGCAACAGTGCTAATACTGAATGAAACCAAATGTTATTTCGATGAACAGATGCTATTCTGAAGGGAAAGAGAACTGTTTATCTTTTGAACTTAAACTTTTGAATTCATTGTGAAATAAACAATAAGTTTATTGTATGAAATAAAAAAAAATCACCAAAATATATGTACTTACAATTTGCAGATAAGGTATACTGACATTGAAACTGTCGTTCATATTTGCATGCCACACAATTCTCACATTGGTAATAAAAAAAGTTCCTAAATTTCCCTGTAAAAGAGAGTAGTGAGAGACATAACAACAACCATTTCTTTGATATTTATTCCTTCATTTCTAAACATTAGAATAATTCTGATTACCACCATATCAGAAAATAGCATTCTTGAGTCTTATGGCATTATTAATGACTTCCTCTTTCATTAGCCGACAAGGGCAGTACAATTAGATAACTGAAGCCTGCGCACTAATCAATACAATCTCAACACTCCCCAGCTGTCTGACTGTGGGCAAATTTCCTGGTACACTGTGTCAAATGTAAAATGGAAATATGACTAAATAACACACATAAAGTCCTCAGCACAGTGTCTGGCACAGAATAACTGTTCTTACAAGTCTACAAGACTATTTTTCAAAATGTGAGATAACTCAAGGTAAGACGGTTATAGAGAAAAAAAAACATGTATGATAACTTCCATCAGAACATGGGAGATATTTTATGGTACTTTTACAATAACAATACATTAAAACTATCCTCTTGTTATGTGGCACCTCAACATTGATCTGCTCAAAAATTGCTTCAATATGGTAGTTAAGTAGCCTATACAAAACTTCCAGATGATAGGCCACCAAAATTATTTGCCGCTATCATTTATCATTATCCACCCCTACTCCCACTTCTCCCTTACTACTATAACCAGAGGAATATTCTTTACCTTTTACTTTTCCCCCAACCCATATCAGATACAAGTGATTTGAGGTATCAGAAAAGGCCACATAACTCCCAATTATATTTGTTAATGTGTTAATTGTTAATTTAATTTATTCTCACATTGTAAGACTTTTTTTTTAAAGATTTATTTATTTGTACATACAGAACTAGGGTACAGGCCAGAGGCTCAGGGGCGGTGAGAGGCTTCACCAGAGAAAGAGTGGGGAGCAGAACAGGCAGATCGACGAAGTACACTGCTGAGGGGAGCAGCGGGCGGGTCAGGAGAGGTCTGCCACGCCATGTGGTCACCTCCGGGGCAGGCGGGAATCGAACTCATGTGGAAGTGGCTTTAGCTTCTCAATGCAGTGCTTTTAACCCGCTGTGCCACCAGGAGGGCCCATTGTAAGACATTTTTATAACTAGTCCCCATATTTCCGGACCATGTCCCACTGAGCAATAAATCTATCTTTACAAAGAATAATTCTTTCTTGTTGTTTCCTCTTAATTTAGAAACAGAAAACAACTTGCAAAAATCCCGTACTTAAAAATAATAGGACATATTTTACTTATTTTGTTATATTTCAATAAATATTAGCTAACAATAACCTGTAAATTTTCAATAAAATGATAAACTTAGAACATCCTAACTAATAAATAATGCTAGGTGTTAAGGATCTAACATGGACAGAGTAACTCCACTCTTTTTTATTTTTTTCAAGATTTATTTTTTTATGCATACAAAGTTCTGGGGTACCAGTCAGGGGCATGGGGAGTGAGATGATGATTCACCAGAGACAGAGTGGGAAACAGAACAAGTAGATTGACTGAAATACACTGCTAAGGGGAGCAATGGATGAGACAGGAGAAGTCTGATATGCCATGTGGGTCAGCTTCTTCGCTTGGGATTGAACTGGTGCTGCAATGGCTACAGATAGCTACACAGTGGTGCATTTTAACTTCTTGTGCCACTGGGGAGGCCCACTCCACTTTTAACTGTATACAGGCTACAATCTCACATGGGGGTATAGAAAAGCTCTATATTTTAGAGCAGTAATCATTTGCAGTAGTAATTAAGTACTTTTTGCATAAGGAACACAAAGAAGGAAGCTTTCTGAAAGTGACATAAGCTATGATCTGAAGCAAAGATGGGTAAACTATGGTCCATGGGCCAAACCTGGCCTGCTACTGCCTTTTGTATGGCCCACAAGCCAGCAATAATTTTTACATTTTCATATGGTTGAAAAAAGTCAAAAGAACAGTATTTCACGACAAATGACGATCTTATTAAGTTCAAATTTCAGTGTCCATAATAAAGCCTTATTAAAACAATCACGCTCACTTGCTTACAACTTGTCTATAGCTGGTTTCATAGTACAATTGGTGAGACTGAGAAGATAAAAACTGTACAGTCTGCAAATCTTAAAATATTTACCATTTGATACTTTATAGAAAAAAATCTAGTCACTCCTTATAAGGAGTTATTCAGATGTGAGTTGTCTATCCTACTGTACCTTTATCAAAGGTATAACTTTTTAAATGAGCAAAGTTTATGCAAATCAGCAAAGATGATGATTTAGTGTTTAGCAATAAGTTCTTTATTCATGATCCTGGTGTTTTCCCTGCAGGTAAGTATGATAAATTCTTTATTCGAATGCTGTAGCTTTATCACAGTATCAGTCTAATATAGGTTGTAACACATACAATGCTGGAACCTATTCTTAGTAAGAAATAAATTTCTCTCTAGAAATTGACCAGTTACTCTTCCAACTATTAGTTACTTACACGTTTTGACTGGTCATAATTTCAAGAGCAAATGAAAAGTTACAGAAATTGATATAGGAGTCACCACATTAATTATATGTTTGCTGACTATCTATAGCTCCCCTTCATCAGTGTAAATTAAGTTATCAAAAGTTTGAAGGTAATAAAGTAGAGGGAGGAGACATGGCTATGGGACTAACAAGATGTGTGAAGTCAGGTGGGGCCTCAGTTTTTCATTTCTAGATGAAACGAGACCAAACTAGATGATCTCTAACGTCCATTCCTGCTGTACATTCTATATAGAAAAATATTGCTTAAGCAAAGCATAAACCAGGAAAACCTGAAAAATCAGAGCCTTGTTTTATATCAAGTATTACTGTTAACTTATTAAAAGGTGTAATGCTAATTTTAACAATTAAGAATTCAGTGAACATACAAACCCAAGGATGAGTAGAAAAAATGATTACCAAAGTACTACCCTAAAAGTTCCATTATTTCTTTGCACAATACCTGATCACTGGATAAATTCCATACTCCATTGATTTTATCATATACATGTTCTTGTGGTAATAACCTTAGTTGCTTATTTTGAATTAGTGCACTTCTCAATTTAAAATCACGGTACATTTTAGAAGTTTCATATGCTCTGTAAAAAAGAAGAAACAAAAGACTAACCCAAAATGAAAACATGGATTTCCTAGGTTATGGTTACTTACTTACTAAAATATACAATTGTTAGTACATCATTATGAATACCATTCAAATAATTATTAAATTATAATGCTTTTTCATTTTGGTAAGATTTGTTCATTAGTCTTTCAAAAATAAAAATTTGGGGTAACACTGGTTTATAAAATTATGTAAGTTTCAAGTGTACAGCACTGGAATTCTAATCCATAAATATCACGATCACCAACAAAAGTATTGCTTATCACTATACACTTGAGCCCTTTGCTCATTTCACTTATCTCCCAATCCCCTTTCCTTCTTATAACCACCAATCTGTTTTCTGCATTTAAGCACTTGTTTTTGTTTGTTCATTTACTCTGTTGCTTTATATTAAGGATATATATTTATTATTAAGGATGAAAATATATGGTATTTCTCTTTCTCTGACTGATTTATTTCACTTAGAATAATCTCCTTCTAGGTTCATATATGTTGTCACAAATGGCCACATTTTATCCTTGTTTTTATTTATTTATTTATTTTTAATAGCTGAGTAGTTTTCCATTGTATGTATGTATACATATACCACATATATATGGTATGTGTTTATACATAAGCATATATATAAAACTGGTGATTACAGCCTTTTGCAGACTTTGTTGTTTTAGTGTAATATTTACATATTTTATTTCAGTAACCTTTTTTAGATATCTAATTCTTAAGGCAATATATATCACATAGCATAAACAATAGGAAACACTTCTAAGCTGAAAACCAATGCGTGCACATATTATATGTAAAAAATTTTCTTTCTTATCAAAATGCTTTATTTCTGTTTGTCAAAGGCCTGGCTATCACTTTGACATAAACAGGAGACATACTACTTTTCTCACCTCAATCTGAAAACATTATGTTCATACCTACTTCTATGCCAGAAAATGAAAATGAATCTATACCAATTTCAAAGGCATTCTAGGAGATTGTATGTACCTGTGTGTGTGTGTAAATTTCCTATAACTCTGTCTTCACTCCATTTGTAGCAATACAAAAGAAAATTTTTATTACCTTTTGGTTAACTCTAATTTATTTCCAAAAATGTAAGCTAATTTATCCATTTAATAGAACTAGAGTTGTTTTTTTTAAGTCTGAATAGCTTTATATTAAGAAGTCATTTATAAAAACTTTAACATTCTTTGCTAAATTTCTTGTTTTCACTTTAGTTAACCTTCAATGTGAATGGAACATTTGTTTGTAAATATTAATTTCTTTTAGAGCTTTTATCATCACTAATTAACCAGTGGGAGAAAAGGAAACTATGCTGTAAATGTAAGGGAAACATAACATTTTCATACTATTTAAGAAAAGGATTTTCCATGCCCCCTTCATTCTCCATTTAAAGTATTTCACTTCATATAGCCTCTGTAAGTAAAATGAACTAAAGATCTATGGTTTAGGAATAGATGTCCAAGGAAGCTAAAAAAATTTATACAATGTTCATACCACTAATATTCACAATAGCTAAAAAGTAGAAATCATTCAAATGTCTATCAACTAATGAATGGATAAATAAAATACGTATCTATATAATGGAATATTATTCAGTTAAAAAAAATGACATATTGATACATGTTACACCATAGGTGAACTCTGAATTCATTATGGAAGTAAAAGCTGGCGGACTTAAAAGACCACGAAATGTATAATGCTACTTATATGAAATGTCTGGAATAAGCAAATCCATAGTGACAGAAAGTAGGTCAGTGATTTCCAGAGTTATTAGGGAACTAGGGGAATTTCGTTTTGGCCTGATGGAAATATTCTGGAATAGGGCAGAAGTGACAGCTGTACAAACTTGTGAATAAACATATCAAACTGTAAAATGATAAACTTAACTGAATTATACCTAAGTTGCAACATATATGACAGAGGGATCATATAAAAGAAACATAAAAAAATTAGAGCCAAAAAATATGAAAAAAGTTCAACCCCTATAAAAGAAATTCAAATGAAAATATAAACAAAAACACCCCCAAATATGTCTTTTGATAGAAAACAAATCTTTTTTTTTTTTAAAGATTTATTTATTTATGCATATAGACTGGGGTACAGGTCAGAGGTGCAGGGGCGGCGAGAGGCTTCACCAGAGACAGAGTGGGGAGCAGAACAGGCAGATCTATGAAGTACACTGCTGAGGGGAGCAGTGGGCGGGTCAGGAGAGGTCTGCCACGCCATGTGGTCACCTCCGGGGCAGGTGGGAATCGAACTCATGCGGAAGTGGCTTTAGCTTCTCAGTGTTGTGCTTTAACCCGCTGCGCCACCAGGGAGGGCCAGAAAACAAATCTTTTTAATTGATTGACTGAACTTGGCTATCTACATTGAATGAATTCTTATTTCACTATTAAATATACTGGTAGCTATTTAGATAGAATGTTCTATAGAAGTATTTATTAAATTTCAATGTACTTATTGGGCATTATCAATATGCCTACAAAGTAGCTATTAAATGATAGAAGTATTTATTAAATTTCAGTGTACTTATGGGCCTTATAAATATGCCTACAAAGTAGCTATTAAATGATAGCACAGTGTGTTTAAATATCATTAGGGCATCTGTAATAGAGATTGGAGGAAGATAGCATCACACTTCTAAACTTTGTTAAACCTTTATTTCATAGAATTACCTTAAAAATATAAAATAATCCATAAACATCAAGCATTACCATACCTGTGTACTGCAATAACTGAAGTAAAAAGTCTAGGACTTCCAGGAACCAAATTTGTAAATATAAACTCAAAACGAGAACTGTTACATTTTGTTAGTATGTAAAGAGCTTCTGTTTGGCCTCGTAATTTCTGTAAGGACAAATTTATTTAAAACTTCAGATTTTAAGAGCAATTCCCCATCACAGTAAAAACATACATCAACCTCATATAACTCATGCTTCTTTGCTACATATATATTTCAATAAGATTTTTCAAACTTACAGAGTTAGCAGTCCTTGTTGTAATATTCAATATGCAGTTGTAACCAATAGCTAAAATTGAAAAGCAAAGAATTTAAAGAACATGATATAATAAATTGAGAAAAAAACTACACTCACATAACTTTTTCAGTTTAAGAAATTAAATATATATATAAAAGCCACAACTTTTAAAACAACTTCAAATTAAAATTACATAATTAAAAGAATTGGAAATTTTACCTCTGAACATTCTCAACATGGAAAAAATAAGTTTGTGTTTCTAAAACTTCTGCAGTATTATTTCCTGAAAAATTTCAGCACCACTATGTCAAGATAAAAAGTCTGGCTGGATAAATTAAGATAATTAAAAAAGATAAGTGAAACATAATTTAGCACAATGAATGGTTATACTTTTAATAGAGTTTAGATCTCTGTTTTTTGGGATAATTTGAAACAGGTTATAGGAAGTTGTCAAAGATAAGTAAAAAAAAAAAAAACAAAAAAATCAATTTAAAAGCACTTAGTTTATATATTTCCAAGAGAAAACATGACAAGACTGAAAAACATTTCTTTGCATATGGTGCAGCCTGTGGCTTGTCTGTGAAGATTTTATCAATTTAAGTTTTCCACATATTTCATGCCATAGCTTTTTTTTAATATCAAAAACACTATGCAAGTTTACATGACAAAAAGTTTTTTAGTGTTAGTTATTAAAGATACTTACAAAGATTGACTCTGGGTAATGCCAAAGAGTGCCAGATAATTCTTAAATTTGTCACCAAGAGTCTACCTAAAAACAAACAAACAAAAATAGGTTACCTTAAGGAAGGGCCCATTTTTACAACAGAATGAAGTATACATGGAACTTCTGATCCAGTATCAGCAGCAAAATCCATAGATGACTTTTATATAATTATTAATTGAAAATATTTATTGCATATATCCTTCTTATGTTAGGTATGCAACACACAATTCAGAATTCCAGATGTAAAAATTTGAGGGTTATACCAGGAATACTAGTATTCACTGACTACAGGTTTTTTTTTTTACTTAAAACTGATGGCAATTACAAATTCACTGAAATCATACTCCTCAATGAACTCATTTATATACACACTCATTTAAGTAATTCTCATTTAATATATACTCATATACTCAGTTTTGCTGTGAGCAAACTTTTTTGCTTCTGTGAAGTTATGGCCTGTTCTACTTAAGAAGTTATGAGGTCTACTTAAGGCTTTATCCTTTTCACTCTTAGCACCAGACTGATATTCTTACACTGAAATACAAAGTTAAATAAACGTCATTTTTCAAAACGTGCCTTTGTGGAGTAGTCTCTATTTCTAGTCTCTATAAATGCTCCAAGAAAAAAACAGTCAGGTAAATCTGAGTATGGTAAACTATATATCTTAGAGACTTATAATAAGCATCTTGGGATAGCTTTGAGATATGCTAAAATGCTAAAACAAATTTAATTCTGTTTAACACATTTTCTCCAACAAATTATAACCACAGAATTCTTTTGAGTAACCTATAGCTGGGTATCTAAAGTAAGAGGAACAAAGTTTGTAGTAATACTGAGGTGAGATAGAGTGGAGTTTCCAAAAACAGAGGAAATATATTCTCATGAGAAAATGTGGAAAATATATGATATGCTTGACAAGTAATAAATAATCCAGTGTAAATTTCACAGATCACAGAGAAGTAAACATTTCACCTATCAGTCAAGGTCCATACAGTGGCATACTCAAGTTAGATAATTGAAGTTTACTTACAAAAGGACTTTTGGGTGGGATGTCAGGAACCTAAGAGAATGCAGTAGATATGCTACCACCCAGGCTCAGAGGCACAAGGATAGCAGGCAGTTAACCAAACTTGGAAAGACACTTCTACAGGGCACCTCCTTGAGAGGAAACCAGGGAGATAAACACCCAGGCCTCACTCTCCTGTCTCCTTGGATCTTCTGCTATTGCTCTTCTAGGGAAGATAGAATACACAAGGGGCCTTTTGATGTAGACTATACAAGAATCTTCCCAGGGAACAGGGAAAAGCGTGGAGTAGCATGCTGGATCTAAAATCACAAATGGAAATAGTGACACAAGAAGAAAGGCAGTTGGAAGACAAATACAGAGAGCACAGTTATAGCCTACTTATGTTCCAGTATCCCATATTATTTTTGTGGGAGTGCAGAGACAAAGGTCATGGGCCATTCATAAGGGCGCCTGGATTTTTAACAGTTATATTGGGTACAACTAATGTCAGAAATCAGGACATAATAAAGGATCAAAGTTTAAGGGGGAACATCTATTTTGTCACTACAGATTTAATATCTACCCTTTTATCAGTTTACATCTGAGAAAAGTTTTATGTTGACTTTAACTTTCCTCTTCTCATAACTACATTTACATAGGATGTTGTTTCCTATCTTATTCTCTAGTAATATTCCTTAACATTTGTAACTTAAACCAGAAATACAAAACATAAGACATACTCACCCCTATCCCCATTATTTCCTTTGGTGTCTTCAATTGAATCTAAACAATCAATAAGGACTTCTCCAGGTCTTGTTTTCATTTGTCTAAAAAAAATGTAAAGGCTTTAATTTTATAGCAACAACTATACCTGCCTACAATTCAACACATATGCATATAAAACAGTCAAAAGTATAAATGATACCATACCAAATGCTCATGCATTTGAAAATAAGGTTGCTAAAAACTAAAAGAACCCAGAGATGGGACCTGGCATAATCAGGTACATATTGAATAAACCAGAATTGGAACAGGCAGGATTTGGAGAAATAAGAAAAAAAGAAGAAACAATGATTAAAAACTAGAAAAAGGAAATAAGAGAAAATGAGAAGGTCCATACTAAGAGGCAGTGAGATATATATATAGTGGCTAAGTAAGGAAGAACCAGATTATGGAGAACCTTAACCTTTGGACAGCAAAGAACCTCTAGAGGAGTCTGAGTAAAGGAAAGAAAGTAAAATGTTTATGGAAGGAATGAGGTAAAGCATCATTAAGATTTGATAAAAAAAAACAGATAAAGGAGACAAAAGAAAATAAAGAATGAAGAATAGTTTGCTGATAGATAAAATACATTGTAAAATGTCAGAAAACCAAAGTAGCGCAATATGTGGTAGGACCATCTAGCACATTCTCTGGAGAGAACTCAATTACCTACTGAAAATACAGTATTATCACATCACTTCTTAGACACCTTTCATGTCATTCTATTGCTTAAAAGATGAAACCAAAAGCCACAGCAAAACTTTTCCCAATCCAAATAATCTATATGTACCTCCATCATCTACCTGCCAGGACCTATCTTCTAACCAATGACGTTTATACCTCTAACACAACTTTTGATGTTTATTTTTCTTTCCATCTTTTCTTCTTTTTGGAATATTCTCCTATCTACCCTGACGTGGAATATTCTCCTATCTACAAAGGACTCAACCAAATCTTCTTTGAGGGCTTCTCCAAACAGAGTGAACTGTTCTGTTTCTATGATTCCCCACCTTTTGGTTTTTCAGGGTGGTATTTACCACTCGTTTTATAATTAATCATCTATGCATAAATCTCCTGCATTAGAATGGGGGATAGCATTTGCTATTATTTTTGTATCTCCAGCTATCAGCATAGTAACTCTTTGATAAATGGTAAACATTTGATAAGTCTTTTATAAACTGAAATTTTCATGATAGATCTCTGGATTAAGAATCTTCTGAAAATAATAGAAAACGTTAGAATACATGCAATATATAACTATGGTTTATAATTTTATAAATCCCCTTGCTCATAACTTCATAAAGGACCTAAGACCATTTCAGTATTAAGCATTCCTTACAACTGAGTCTGGAAAATTAATCAAAAATTTATTTTCCAAATAAGGAGATTCTATTTATAGGGATCATACGTGATTTAAACTCTATGCCACTGACCCCAAAACGTAAGCTTTCCTATTTCCCAACTTTAAACAGCCCTAATGGAGATTTTTTTCCGTGGAACTGGGTGCGGGAGGATCCTAATTATTCTCTCTTTAAAGCATAATTTTTTTCCAAAGTTAGAGCTTCTGTTTGAGAGGCTCCAAAAAAGGGGGGTTCCTTCTTACTGCTGGTAATTTATATAAGTAGCTTGATGAAGCGTACCCTGGAAATAAAGTCTGTCTGATGAGGAATTTTGGAGAATGCTTTATCCCACATCCCTTATTTTACAGACGGGGAAATTCAGGTTTAGAGTGGTGAGTCGTTTTTCTAATCGCATATAATATGTGTTATTTCAGATACAGCTTTAGTAACCTGGTTCCTGAGCCCGTGCTTCAGCCTCCTCTGGTATGAAACTGACAGCTCAGGTTCACTAGGACGTACTGGGAGCCCCAGACCTGGTCGGTCCCTGTCAAGCTAAGGTTCAGTTTCCTCCTCCCCAAAGTTTTAAAGATCTTAAGGGACCAAAAGGGCAATCTAGATGCATCCGGGCCGGGGCGAGGGCCGTAGGGACCGGGTCAGTCTGGAGAAAACCTCTGGCCATCCACTCACGGGCCTTGAACTGTATGTAGTAGCGCAGGCTCCACCCGCGTGTCCAGAAGTCGCGCTGCGACCCCCTCCCTCTACAGGCTCAGGTCCCAGGGGAATCTGCAACTCACTGCGAAGACACGTCGAAGCGGACATCCCGGTCCTCCCAAAGTGCGTCGAGCACCGACATGTCAATGGAGGCCTGTGGCCGGCGCTTTCCGCTGTAGGAGCAGCAGCAGAGAGGCGTGTCCCTGGCTCCAAGGCAACGGGCTGCCGCTATCCGGACGTGTACGGTGGGCGCCGAGACTCAAGTTTCTTTGAGAGAGCGCGTGCGCGTTCCTCCGCACTGTGACGTCACTGAGAGGCTCTGAGGCGCGAGGCTGGATTCTGCGGCTCGAAGAAGCCTGGCGGACCCGGCAGTGGGGTGTGTGTTTGACTTCTATGGGACCTTCCTCGCTTTCAAACCGACGTCCTTAAACCCACTCCTCCATTTCTCTACACAGAGAAGACAAGAAAGTTAAACTGAACATCCCCAAATCTTAACTTTGCCCGTTATGTTGCACTCGAGCTGCATGCTTTGCTTCTGCTTCATACTCTTCAAGGGGATCCCCTTGCTTGGCTTGGAACTTTTTGTTTCCCCAGGTCTTTGAATAGTCCTTTGTCACTTAAGACTCAGCTCTAACGTCAACTGAGCCGGCCCTGGAACTTAATGTGGCTCTAGTGTAAGCACCTTGAGGACAGGGTCTGATCTACCCAGTTAACTTTAAACAGTACCACAGAGTAGGCACCTCAGTGCTTTTTGAATGAAAATGCCTTCCTTCTCTCAACGCATGATAATTCTTTTAATAAGTTGTCTCCAGTGTCATTTGGGGACCCTCGGAGCTCTTGAATGAACTTGAAAGTGGATCTTTTCCCCATTAAAACTTCAAATGTGGATTTAGCCCCAGGAGATGCCTGGATTGCAGCCTGGTGTGATCCTAAGCAGAAAACCCGGGTAAGTTATGCTGGGACCTCTGATCTACAGAACCAGGGATATAAATGCTTTTGTTTTGTTTTAAGCTGCTAAATTTGTTTTGCAACAATGTAAAAGTAATGCAAATGCTGGAATCAAGAGTGGTGTACTTAATGTAAGAAGCTGTTAGACCCAACAAAATCCTACTGTCAGAAAGCAGGGTGATAAAATTACTCACCTGCAAACGTGTGCTACCTTTCATGAAAATGCAAGGATGACTTTAAGTACAAACCCAAGTGCCCCAAGACAGAACTGAGAAGCATGATATATTAAAATCCAATATTTGCTTAAATGGATGTCAGAATTGTTATATAGCAGTGGCTCATCTTTATTTTCCATTTTCCCTTTTTTGAAAAGAAATGTCTCTAGTTATTCTTTTGTGCCTGTCCCAGCACTGTATGATGGGAGTATTGGGAAGATATTCCATAAGCCAAGATGTATTTTATAACCTTAAGATTAAAAAAAAGAAAACCTAAAATCTATTCTAAAACATAAAATACAATTCAGTGTAAATGCTTACTCTGTTCAATTAGGTGGCAATCAACGCTGACTAAAATACATTTCTATTTTAAACCATTTCTATTTCAAAACAAAGTTATTGCCCATAGAGGCAAATTCCCATGTCCAACTACTAAAATACTGACACCAAGCAAGAAATAGTTACTACTTAAGTTTGATCATTTCCTTACTTTTTGTGTGAAGAGAATCAATAAATACTTATCACAAGCTTCTGAGTACTTAGGAAACTTAAGCACTCCACAAACTTAAAATATAAAAGAGGGTTTTAATGTGATTTTAAGAACTTTTATTTTAAAATACTTAATCTGCATACTGAAATGTTGAATTTATAGTACCCTTTGCTGAACAAAGATTTTCTTTCCATGAAGTTGTGGAATCATTTTAAACTTAGGCAAAATAAAATGAAACATTATGGCTTATGTACAGGATATTCTATGGGATGAGTTGTTAGACATCATAAAAGATGTATTAAGAAACAGTGCTTTTTCTTTTTTTACAGAAAAGGCACATACTGCTCATGCAATGGATGGCATACCAAAATTCTCAACTTGTGGCTGACATTTCAGCAATGAATATAAGCTTTTAGGAAGAGTATTATGCCATGCTTTAAAAGATGTTCATTTTCTTAATGTACCACTCTCAAAGTAGATGTGTTCTTATTCAGGTTTTTTAAATTGATGCTTATTGTAAAAGGTTGGCAGAGAAGTTAAATCCCAGCTTTGAAGGGAAAAATGAAGGCCAGAATGGAGAAGAGAGGAAAGCTATGTACTCATCAGTCACCTCATGTATTCCTGTTAGGCTACCTAGTTCTCTTTATAACAATTGCAGTTCTGGTGTTTTGATGCTACAACTTACAAAGGAAACAGATCTCTCTGCTATGTCATTAGCCTATTGACCTCAGTCTGGTTAAGTTAAAACCAAACCAGTTACTTCTGAGTGAATCCTCTAAGTTCCATTCACTGTTCTTTAATTCTTTAATGTTTCTTCCCTAAGCTTCAAAAGCCTGAGTTCTTTAAAAAAAAAAAA